AACACCTATAACTAACACCCACCTAGAACCAATATCTAGAACCAACACCTAGAACCAGTGAACTCCAGGTTCTGGTTCTTACCAATGATCCACATTAACAGTTAGTCTAAATATGTAAAATCTGGAATCTGGTCCAACTTCACCACATCAGGTTCTGCTGGTGTTAGACCCTCAACAGGTGGTGAAATGTGACCAGAGACTGGATTTTAGGACGTTTATGGATCAACACCAGCCTGAGTTGAACACTTGGCACTTTTTTTGGACTAGTAATTAAAACTGTGTTCTGAAAATGGACTCACAGGTTTTTACTGAGGGTGAAATTTTCAGAATTTAGTCAAAATATTGAACAGAACTTGGTTTCAGGTCCCAAATAACAAATCAGTCAACTGTGATCTCCACGCTCTGACCTGAACTGAAGACGTCTGCTGTCTTTCAGGGGGAACCGGGAACACAAAGGTCTGGACATCGTGTGCGCCGACGGATCGGCCGTCTACGCTCCGTTCGACGCCACCCTTCACGGGAGACTGACCGTGTACAGCGACACGACCAAGGCCGCCATCAACGAGGGCATCAACCTGCGGGGGCAGGGTGGGTCCACCGACACCGGTCCAGTATCGATCCCAGTGCTGATTCTGTGATTGACGGGCTGTGTCTCTGCAGGTCTGTGTTTCAAGCTGTTCTACGTGAGGCCGGACAGAACCTCGGGGTCTGTGAGGAAGGGGGACCGGATCGGAACCATGCTGCCCATGCAGAGCGTATATCCAGGAATCACCTCACACGTCCATGTCCAGATGTGTGACAAGAGCGACCCGACACAGTACTTCTGACCCGCCGTCACTGGTTGTGGAGTAAAAAGTTCTACAAACCAGACTGTGATGGAGGAACAACATGAAGAACATTAATCATCAGAAAAATCTCCTCAAATAAAAAAAAATATCACAAATATCGTCCACAGTGTCTGGGTTCTCTGATGGAGGAGCAGGTGGGTCAAAATGTCTTTACTTTGAGCTACAACTGACCTGTTGTGGACCAGCGGTGTTCCTCAGAGCTTCAGTGGGAGGCAGCTTCATGAGGGCAGCAGGTCTGTCAGGGTTCACTGCCTCCTCACTGGTTTATACGTCAACGTGATCCTGCTGCTGCTCAGCGTTAGCAGCACCTCCGCTGACAGACACACAAAGTCCTAGCTTAGCATCACTAGCATTAGCCTCAGGGAGCTAGCTAAAGCAGGCGGCCACCAGACACCTTTTACACCTCGATGCTGCAGAGTGACTCGTACTTATTTGGAAATGAGTTAAAATTGGTCATAATGATTTAGAAATTGTCCAAAATAACAAAACTTTACTCAGTTTGTCCAAAATGAGACAAAGAGACAAAAACTTAACAAACAGACTCCATGTGTTGAATTTTGGTTTGTGATGATCAGCTGCTGCTGTTCGTTGAAACTCAGACAGAGGTGGAATAAATGATGCAATACAAAAGCATCAGTCCTCATGACTGATTATTGAGACCCGACAGTCCTGCTCACACAGAACCAGCATGAAGTCTTAATGACTGAACCTGTTGTTCTGCAGCTGCTGAGTCATGGCAGGTTGACAGGTGACACACCTGATTCCTATCAGCTAAGAAGAATCTCACTGTGGTGCTAATAGGCCACAAAACCACTTTGTTCTCATAGTGTCGGTGCAGCGTCCTGGTTTGACCTGTTCCTGGGTCAGTACTGGATTTTCAGACCCTACCTACAACTGTAAATACTACCAGCCTACATCCACTTTATGTAAGAAAAGATGATTTATCCCAAGTCAGCCGTCACATTTTCATTTTATCAACATATATCGTCTAGAAGTGGTCTAGTCACTAGTTCACCTTTATTAAGTATTTGATTAACGTAACAGAAATATCTTTTTGTAACCCTGTGCTTCCTGCTTGTTCTAAAAACTTTAAGAACTACAATCATGGCGCTAATTTGTTTTCAGCTACATAGCACTACCACAGGGAATTGTAGTTTTTACAGAAGAGGAGCATTTTGCAAATAGTGGATTAACAACACACTGGAGGGTTTAAAGGGACGCTGAACACAGCTGTGGATTCAGATCTTAATAATCTAATTGTTGAATGTATGACTATGTATTTTATCCATGTTTGACAGCGCCCCCTGTTGGTGGGTATACCACATGAGTTATTACATGACAGCTAAGGTCAGGAGCTCTCCTGGTCCCATGTCTTTAGCCCCTCTCATTGTTAGACTATAGGCCTTCCAATATGCACTGAGGTCAAGGCTCAGAGGTGAGTTTTTCAGGAAGGAGCCACGTACAGTGTTCATATTGATGAATGTTGTTCTCCAGAAGAAGACCTTTCCAATGAGGTATTTAGTTTAGTGAAAGCCAAAGTTTTTATACGTCTCATTTCATTGACTCCGACCTTTAAAGGCTGAGTTTGACAGAGGACTTGCAAGACCCAGTATACAGAGTTAAGCTTGTTGTTTTTTCCTTAAATCTTTTGGGAAGCATATTCCACAATGAGTCACCTTCAGAGTTAAGATATTGTTCATATCAGCTGGCTGGCCCACAATCTATGGGTTAGAGTCAGGCTAAGCTCCCAGGTTAATGGTTCCATGACAAATACCCACAACACGAAAAGAAAAAGAGACAGATGCTCACAAAGTATTTTATAATCTATATTTGGCAAATGAAAGTATACGCATATAATATGAAATACGTTCCCGTATCAATTTAGGCTAATTATGAAAAGATGTGCAATTACTTTCAAAACCCAATCCACATATGAAATGTGTGAAGTCTGACGTTAGCAGCTCTGGGCTGCTCCGCTTCAGCAGTTAGCTCGCATTGAAACGTAGCCTGCAGCCGCCATTTTGTGAAGGTCAGAAGTTGTCGGTCCAGAATGTGTGAACACGACAGAGTCAAGTAGACCTGAATAGGACCTGCGTGAATGTTTTAATACAGACACTGACCACGTCTGTCCTGATGCAACATGTTTGGTTCCATGAAGCTGCACAGCGACGCCGTTCTGACCAGTGAAACACACACAAGAGGAAAAGTCGAGCTGGTCGCACCGTCAAAGAACAAACGGTTGTTACAACACAGAGCTTTCTGTCTTTTTTTTTATTAAACATTATCTGTAACTTGAGAACACAGGAAAAAGCTGCTCAATAACATTTCTATATTATTATACTGATATTTTTATGCTGATTTAAATGTAGTAAAGAAAAAGAACAAATGATCATGAACAGAAACACACAACAGGAGACATTTTCATTACCAGTCATATGATGGGGTGTTCATCTTTACAAACCAATCAATCAAAGAGAAAATACAAAAATGATTTAAAAAATCATCTGCTTTAAGAAACAGGTCATAATGAAACAGTAAAAACAGATATGCAGTGACGCAAAAGTAATAATGACCTGTGTACTTTTACTTGAATACTTGTACTGGAGTAACAATACATATTTGTACTCTGCTGAAGTAAAGGATCTGAGTCCGTCCTGAAGCGCTCGGACATCGATCAGTCGCTGGTTCTTCCGTTAATGACCAACTACATGATCAGAGTCGCTGTTTAAATAACCAACAGTCTAAACTGTCATTCAAGCTTTGAAATGTGAATATTTTCTGGTTTCTTTCCTCCTCTGCGCCAGTAAACTGAACATCTTTGGACAAAACACGACATTTAAACAAACTCTGATCCACTTTTTTTTTTACAGTTTTCTGACATTGCGAGCCGAGCGGCTGAGCGGCTCCTCCAGGACATCCCCAGCAGTGGACATGGCGGTGGGCTGCAGCTCTACTTGGAGGGTCCTGCTTCTTCTTCGGCTCTGCAGACGGCGAGCTGCTCCGCCTCCACGTCCTCCTGCGGACGCCGACTCCCTGGCGGTCTGGAGAGAAACAGCAGCACAGGTGTGAGCGTCGCTGCTCGCGGGCCTTCGCTCTCGCCTGCAAACATGTTGGTACCTTGTGGCTGAACCAGATGAGTGATGTGAAGAGCAGCAGACTGAGCAGCAGCAGGAGCAGTCTGATGAAGAAAACTGTTGGATCTGATCAAACACACTCACATTAGAACCACCAGGAGCCGCAGGAAGCTGAAGAATCCTGCATCCGATCAGCCACACAAAGACAACACAGTTATAACGATTCACTGAAACATTAATTCTGCTGCATCGCTGGAGCTTCAACTGTTCAGGTCACTTTATAGAATGGATCATACAGCAGGATCGTAACTTTAAGATTTAAATGATTTTGGTCATCCATCCATCATCTCTACACCTTCATCCTCACTA